CCTTCCTCCTCTCCGATGCTCCGGTGAACTCCTCTCCAGCGACCTCCTCCTCCTCCTCTTCGGCGATGTAGGCGAGCGCCTCTCCGGTGACCTCCTCCTCCTCCTCTCCGGCAAAAGACCACGGCAAAAGAACGTACAAGATCCAAAAACAGGAACAAAATTTGAAATAATGTCGTGCCAAAAAACAAGCAAAAAAAACGAGCAAAAAATGGGCAAAAAATCACGATCCAGATCTAGATTCAAAATGGCGCATCACTAATGGCGCATCACTAAACAGTGCGCCATTAGTATGCCCAAGTTACTAATGGCGCATCCCGTTGTCGTGCGCCATTAGTATGCCAGCACCTGGGTATACATGGCCCCCTGGGAGGCATACTAATGGCGCACCGTGGCCTATACTAATGGCGCACCAGTGGTGCGCCATTAGTATACCAGATACTAACGGCGCACCAGTGGTGCGCCATTAGTAAAAATTACTAATGGCGTGCTAGTAATGGCGCACTAGTGATGCGCCATTAATGGCCAAATTAGGTGCGCCATTAGTAGCGGTTTTTCTAGTAGTGAACTAAGGGCCTCGAGTTGCGAGTCAGGGTTCGATTTGCAACTGGGTCAAATGCAACTACGAAAACCAAAACCCCAGTTGCGTGTCGAGGGTTGACTTGTAACTAGGGGACCCAAGTAGCAAGTTAGGGTTGACTAGCAACTGGGCAACCTACAACCCCAAAAAAGGCCTCAGTTGTGAGTTAGGGGTTGATTTGCAACTAGGGCTTGGAGTTGCGAGTTAGTACAGACTTGCGACTGGGGCAAACTTACAAGTACAAAAGAAGCCCCAGTTGCGAGTCAAGGGTTGACTTGCAACTGGGGCCTCGGGTTGCAAGTCGAGGCTTGAATTGTAACTGGATCAACTACAAAATACGCAAACAAGCACCTAGTTGTGAGTCAATGGTTGACTTGCAACCGGGGCCTTGGTTTGCAAAGTTGAGGCTTGACATGCAACTAGGGAAACTACAAAAACTATGAAATAAGCCCCCAATTACGAATCGAAGATTGACTTGCAACTAGGGTGCCCCAAAGTTGTGAGTTAGTGGT